TCTGATGTACTGGAGATCTCACCATACAATTGTAGTGAACAGAATAATTTATTTGATCAGTTTTCTTGACTGATGGTTATGTGCATTGTTTCCATCAAGCACTTGATAAAAAAAACAAAATCTTCATGATGGACGAGGTGACACTCTAAGACTCTAGACCTTGATGGCGTAAGGGGTGGGGCTCCTGCAGTTCCCCACCGGCGGCTGCTTCCGCCCCTCCCCTTAGAGCTCTTCCAGCTTTGGTTTGGTCCCTGCCTTCCCTGGAGGACCTCATTTCCGGCTCTGTAACCTCCCCTGGCCTTTCCACACAATCCTGTTGTAATGTTTTCTGGAAATAAAGAAGTAACTTCTGCTTAAAGATTTAAATCCTGAACCCCAGTTAGCTGACTGATCTAACTTTGAGTTATGACCTGGTAAACTATAGAGATGTCACCCTCCCCTTGCCGACTGCTGGCATGGGAAGTGCCTTCGAGGCTGCCGAACTCCACCCCTTGGTTGTACAGCAGTGGAAAGCAGAGAGCAGAGGAGTGACTTGTGTTCTCTCAAATCACGTGGCCGAACGGTACTGGGCCTCAGGGCCCTCACTCCCAGCCCAGTGTTCCTTCTGTTCCCTCCAACCCCCTTACCTGCCGTCAGTGATTCTGAAAATGGTGGAAGCTTTGCCCATTATTGGAGACTCAGGGACCTCAGTTTGAGTCAGAAATAAATAAAGGAAAAATGTCTTAGGGAGTCCTGAGAAGCTGAGAGCCAGGCTCCACCATTCTGTTTAGACACTGACTCACCGTGCGACTCTGGGAAGTTTCGTGGCCTCCCTGGTTTCCACTGCTCCAGCCCTGGGCTTGGCATCAGACCACACAGGCCTTGCTGGAATGGTTGTGAAGGTTGATGAGGTAATCCTTATAAAACTCTGCTGGCCATGCAGATGAAAGCCGCACTGTGTCTGGAATGACGGGGTGCCAGGTATCCCGCCCACACTCTCCCACCCTAAGTTGGTTTATCAGATGCTGCTATGGTTCAGCCAGCTAAACATCTTGTCATCAGTTAGTTAAGCATTCTACCCGTGCCCCCCCACCCCCACCCCGGTCGTTCTTAACCTGGTTGATTCAAAGTTCACTTATTCTAGTTCCTTGAGTTTTAAAATAACGTAAAGTCTTCACCATGTACTTAAGTCCTCTGAACCTTGGCTTCTCCATCTGTCAAATGAGGAAGACAGGGCTGTGGTGAGGGTTGAGCCAGTTAATATATGTGGAGCAGGGCTGGACACGCAGAAGTGCTCAGTAAGCATGAAGTATTGGTGTAGCCGACTGCAAGTGGGCAGCGGCTTATGAATACACGCATTCAATTAAAGAAGTAACTTGTGTTTTTACTGTAATGCTCCATGGTTTAGTATTTCTTTGTTTCCAAGGAAACACACTGAAGATTTCTGTGGGTGATGTACCAAGGCTTCTAGCCTGTGGAGGTAGGATCATGAGAGTGGAGGAGGATTGGGGTGCTCAGACCCTAAGGTCTCTCAGTCTTCCCACCTCAGAATTTGCTTCCTCAGCTGTCTTGTTCAACATTGCGTCCTCAGCACCCAAGTCCTCAATCAACATTGGCTCATGAATCAATGAATATATTTATGAATCTAACCAAAGACAGAGAAATGGAGGATGGCCACAGGAAGGAAGTCTGGCCAACACTGGGTTTTCCAGGAGAGAGGAGGTAAACTTTAAGAACAGAAAGGGGAAGGATTAGTGTAACCATTGCCTGATGGACAGATTCTAAGCCTGGGGATTAAAACATAGAGAGATGGCTGTGTAGTTGGATACAGCAGCCCAAAGAATCATTGGGTTTTGCTTGTTTGTTTTTTTTTTAACGAAATCAGACAGCTTAAGAAGGCAGTGGAGAGATTTCTTTTTGACAGCAGTTCTCTGCAGAGATTTCCAGTTGTTCAAAGGGATCATTCTGAAGGTATCACAAAGAGCACCCTATTAGAGTCTCTGTCGCCCTGAAAGTGAATCCTTCTTCTTTGTACTCAGGCTGTTTTTCTGTTAATAATAGCCTCCTACGATGACCCCAAGTTTCACCGCCCCCCTGAAAGTCAAAGCTGCTCTTTGTGTAGGCAGTTTTTCCCGTTCCTGCACACACTCCTCCCCAATCTGGGGTCATAGTTATACTGTCCCCACTAAAGGCAGCACCACTGAATCCAAGGACAAGTCAGAGCAACTGGCCATGCTTCCTTCTCGTCCTCATGGTGTTTATTTAGATTGAGATGGTTTTCAGTAACATTCAACAAGCATTTAGCCAGCACCCACTGTGAGCCAGGCACTGTGCTGGATCTCACACACGCGACAGAGCTGGTTACAAGTGGTTTCTGGCCTTGGGAATCTTACAGTGTCTTGCAGATGGTTACGATGACTGGGGAAATGTTTCAGGGTCTCCCTTCAACTTTTCCGGGCTACAGGTTTCCCTTAATTGGACTTGTCACTTTAGAATTCGGTTGAAGGTGAACTCAAGTACATTAGATTTAACAGACGTCTCTAAGAGAACTTCCCACCCTCCACCTGGTGTTCCCTCTGCACCTCACCTCTCTGACAGCACTCACCTCCTTCTTGTTGTGCTTACTTATGTGCAGGTCAGCCCCACAATCCGGGGAGGGAACAGGCCCGGGGCAAGGTGCCCAGGGAGTGGAGCCAGAAGACTTGTGCTTGTTTCTGAAGCCAGACTCCGGTATGAATCAACCATGAAATCTTGGCCATGCAACTTAATGCCTGTGACCCTCGGCCCTGTACTTAGGAATGGAAGATGGTAACAATGCCTATTTCACAGGCTGGATGTGAGAATTAAGGTAGGCGATCAGATGAATGTGCTTTGTAAACTATTACCCATATGCTAATTTTTGTTACCCCCTAAATGATCTAGCCTTGGCCATGAGAAATATTTTATTAATATTCATTAAACTATTGAAAAGTGGCATCACCCTCCCTGTGGTGTGTTCTTCTCAGTCACATTCTCTTCCTGGCCCAGGCTGTTAGCTAGGCCTCTCTCTCAGCCCACCAGGTTCGGGGTGGGGAGGAGGGTATTTGTAGGGCTTGAACAGGATCGAAGGGGCCTGCCTGCCCATGGAGCTGTGCGTCTAGATAGTGGGGCCCAGAGCCACCCAGCCGCATGCTCCCATGCCCTGCTTCTGTCCTAAGGGCAGGCAGAGCCAGAGGGGCCCTCGCAGTGGAAACGTGGGCTTTGGAGTAACGCAGTCCCGGGTTCAAATTCTGGGTCAACTGATTTACTACTTGCGTGATACGGGGTAGTTTTCACATTTTTCTGAGCTTTCGTTTTTTTCATCTGTGTAATGAGGGTAACACAGGACTGGACGGTAACTAAAACTAGGGATGTATTGAACGGAGGCACCGCGAGGAGTTAGACTTAAATAAGCCAGCAAGAGTGAACTAGCGCAGTGTCCGTCCCCGCGCCGTAGCTGCGCGCTGCGTGGGTGCTGGGCACAGGCCCCGCCGTCAGCGGGAAGACGCACGCGGCCCGGGCGCCGGCGGAGACGGCAGGTGCTGCGACAGGACCAGGACGCGGTGCTCCGGGAGCCGCAGGGCAGGCGCCTTCCCGACAGGACAGCCGTGGCTGGGAGCGTGTCAAGAGCCGCCAGGGAAGGCTTCCGAGAGGAAGCGATCACGGCGGGAGGCTTGCGGGCTGGGCAGGAGCGAGCCGAGGGCGCAGAGCACAGCGAGCGAGCACGCGACATCTGGGGAGGGGGCCCCTTTGGGAGCAGGCGGAGCGGCTCTGAGAGAGCGGGGTGGGGTGGGGGGTCTGCAAGGGTGTGTCGATGCCGGGACGCGCGGCTCGCTTCGGGAAGGAGCTCATGTTTTATTAGGGGCACGAATGGTTGTGTCCCCTCACCAAGCGAAGACATCACCACCCCCTAATTTTTAGAGGGGAGGTAGTTGGGTTCACTTAATGGAAGTACTGAGGCTGGAGCCCGGGACCTCGAGCCTGCTCAGCCCGCGCTCTGCCGCGAGAGAGGACCCCGAGGTGGACGCACCCAGCCGAGAAGCGCATCTCGAGGTCATGAAATTCGCACGGGTGTGGGTCCCGGTCCGGCCCCACGTGCGAGTTAACCCCTCCCTGCACCCCCACAACTTCGTGGTCGGCCAGCGACGACACCCACCCCTGAGGGTTACTTCGAGGACTAGCTGGAATTATTTATGCACGTCAGGTGGGCAGCAAAGCGTGCCACCCAACAAGCACGCTAATAAACGTCGGTCCTCTTGGCCTAACCCCTGTGCGCCGAAGGGCAGGGCCACCGCGAGGCCCGTCCCCCGCCCGTCCCCTCCTCCGTCAGCGGGGTCAGCCGCCGCCGCACGCCCGGGCCGGGACGCCAGGATGTGTACTCCAGCGGCGCCGGGGGTGACGAGCAGGGCGGCCGCCGCCACTGCGCATGCTCGACGCGCGCGCCGGGACCCCCGCGGGCGGGCGGCGGGTGGGGCGGGCTGCGGAGGGCGCATGCGCAGTCCCGCGCCGCCGCTCCGTCCAGTGCCGCAGCCGGAAAACCGCAGCGGCGGAGGCTGAGGCGGCGACCGCGCGGGCGGCCACAGGGGAAGCGCCGGGGCAGGGCTGGTCGGGCGGGGCGCGCGCGCCGGGCCGACGCGTCCGCGGGAGGAAGGCGCGGGGCGGCGG